AAGAAGCTTATTTTATAAAGCGTTTTTCTTAATTAATAAAGCACTGCGCTAGATACTAACTTGCACTGCCAAGTGCACTTCCAATCATTTAAGGCAGGAGGAATTCCACGATCGGCTTCATCCTCTTCGTCCAGCATGTCCCTTCCTGGGGGAGCCCACAACTGAACCGACTCTGTTGCAGTCAACAATCTGTTATCTGAAAATTAGGTACGCAAGATGCAACAAGTAAACAACATCATCTATAAAAAACATTCGGCATATATCTAAGAATCTGCTAGGCAAAAAAAAAGTCATCCTTGGCAGAGATTTGGGAGCAAAAGTGAAACACTTTTACAAGGAACTGTTGTGTATCAGGGTAAGTCTTTTTTAAAAAACACAAAAGTCGATTAACAAATCATTCAAAACTGATATATATAACAAATTAGTGAAATCTGGTTTTCCACATGAAATGCTTACATTTCTAATTGTTTGAAATGAAAGATAACACTTTCCTGAAGTACAAATGATGTCAAATCCAGAGTGGATTTGGCCCTGTTTTACTTCTGATTTTATCCTTCAGTGATAAATATAATAAGAATAAATTGTGGCACACGATAACTAAAGAACAAATCATCAGTGTTCTTAGAATAAAGTATTCTAGGCAGAGGGCTAGAAAGCATAGCTTAGTTAAAAACTCACTGCCATCACGTCAATGCTGGCTCATAACGATACCGTGTGGGTTTCTGAGACATTAACTGTTTACAGGAGTAGAAAGCCCACTCTGTCTCCCAAGTTGCTCCTGGTGGCTTTGAACTGCGAACCATGACGATTTCAGCCCAACACATAACCACTACAGCACCAGGGCTCTGATAGCTTAGCTAAGTACTGTTAAAAAAGCAGTGTTTGGGGGGAGGGGGGTGCTCTAAGATTGATGTGGCAGTGACTATACCTTGATATGACTAAATGTTTGAACTACTGAATTATTGAATTGTATGATCTGTAAATTATGTGCTAATTTGGAGAATAAAAAGCAGTGCGAGGGAAAGGTCATTAGCAAAAAGAAAACATATTAGTGATCATTTCCTTGTTAAGAAAGACTATTTCACATTGTAGTCATACATTTTAAACAAATATTTAATTTTCATAGTTTCTGAAAATAATCGGTAAATACCTTGAGGGTCCCAAGCTAAGTTGTATGTCACAGAACTCAAAAAAAACTGCCCAGTTTTAAGCCATTGACACTTTAATTGCTGAAACATGAAGCGTGGGAAAAAAGAAAAAGACAACTTGTAAAATAACATCTATGGATACTATCATTTTCTTCAACTAGCGATCTTATCATCTACAACCAACAAAAATGCAAATATTTTACTATTATTTTTAAAACAATGTTTTATTTTCAACACATTAACTATTTTAAAAACCGTAACTTGCCATCTATTCTACCACACTGAGCTGCTGGCCAGCCCCAAACAAAGCACATCTTCTTGGGTCCCTTCCAGCTCTTTAGCAGTGGCCACGGAGCCGACGCCACCTCACGGCAGCCCCATGTGCATCAGGGTGCACTTGCTCCACAGGAGTTTCAGTGGCTGGTTTTTTCCAAAGAACTCTGGGCCTTTCTTGTGAAGTACCTCTGGATGGGCTCAAAGTGCCCATTTGTTAATTGTCAGCCAACCATTTATACTGTGCAGAAACTCCCTCCACATCTGTAAAAACGGTCTAACACTTCAGTTATTCTTTCCCCCTTCCCTCATTCTCAAGCAACTGTGCCTCATGGTTAAACCGCTACCTCCTCCACAAAGCCTTTGCTGACATCTTGGCAGTACCCGCAGTCCTTTCCACATTCTACTCTCACACCCCAATCATACTTAACGATGCATTTGTTCATGAGCCGAATCTCCTATTAAAGTGCAATTGCTAAGAATTTAGGACATCATCATCATCTTTAGATCCTAAGCAACTGGAATGACCGGTACATAAAAGCTCAATGAAAACATTACTAAAATGTTTAATAATAATAAATACACATTAGAAATGCATATTAGCATAATCCTATAACCTCAACATATAAAAGAAAATCAGAATCACTTTCAAAAAGTCAACAGATAATCATCTATCATTTAAACTACATTACTTTGATTTGAACAATTTCTATCATTCCACATTTTCATTGTAAAAGGTGGAAAGAAGTATTAAACATTTAAAAGTCAAAGAAAGTAGAGACAGCAGCTAAGTAAACAAAATTTAGATCTTCTTTGTAAGCTATAACTATATAATGCCCTTTCATGAAAGTATAGTATAGCATATAGCTAGGTAACCTTACATGTGTTATACATGAATCTCTTGGCAAGAAAAGTTAATTTAATATTTAGTCTTCTCTTTAGATATTTGACAAATACATAACAATGATATTATTCAAGGTTTCATGCCTACGCTTACTTAGCAGCAAAATTTAAAACATAACTGCAGTTTCATGTAACATAATCCTATTTTTAATCAAGTGGCGGGGGGATAAACATTAATTTTAAACTCTACCACAGTTGAACAAACCATCAGAACAGAATTTTAAATACTGCTCAATAACTCTATAGTAATAATTTGTCATTCCTAAAATTATGTACATTGCTAATATTCATTTCATTGGAGTTTCTCCAAGTATAATCTGTGGACATAGTAGATATTTAGAGCTTGAGACCTGAGAACTTGCATTTTTAATATGAGTTCTAAAATTTAAAAGCCATTTCATACTATGATTATAGGAAAAAAGCTAATATTTTAACTTACACTACTGTGTTAGAAATGTAAAAAGAAATATTCAAGTATTCCCATATTTTAAAAATATCAAAACTACTTCCTTTAATGCTTCTTTAAACTTCTTTTAACCTATTTAAGAATTCCATTTTTAAAAATCACTTCGAAAATATATACATTTTTAGTTTTGACTATGTGTAACTGATAGTGAAGTTCTAATGCTAGTAGTAATTTTTAATGTAACTAGTAACATTCATAAGATAGCATTTTCTGAATACTAAGTAAGATGACATATACTATAGCACCCACTATGAATCTGGAAGATTCTGAGGCAAGAAATAGTAGTTTAGTCTAGAGTGATCTCAATTAGCAGATAAATCTAAATTAGTAAGCCACGGCTTCATCTGGTCTGAGACCAGAACTGACGTTGCCTCGTTACCACTACCCACTGTTCTGATCTGGGACACAATAGAGGATCCCGGATAGACTGGGAGAAAAATGTAGCTCAAAACTCAAATTCCCAAAAAAGCTCAAACTGGACCAAAAGAGAAGACTGACAGAATAGGCTTTGAACTTGGAGCTTAAATCACTCTCAGAGGTGACCTTTTAGCCAAACAAACGGTTGGCTTATATAACAAACAATATTATCCGTGAGTTATGTGCTTCCTTCAATAATCAACTACATGACACTAATGGTCAACATTTACTGTAACGCAAAAATGAGAAGGTACGGAGAAGCAGGGGAAGCTAGGTCAACAGAAACACAACAAACAAGGGGGAAAATGAGAATGTTGATAAGATTGTGGGAAATGGATCCAATATCATGACAAATTTTATAGAAAAAGTGTTAACTGTAAACTGAATTTGCCATTAAACTTTCACCTAATACAATAAAGTTTTTTACCTCAATTAGCAATATTCTGGAAACTTGAAGTCCTAAAAGGCCTAAAAAATATCCCTAGGAATTGTCAATAAGGATCTTACCATAAGGCGGTAAGCTCTTTACTGAATCAACTGGATTCTGAAGTTAACCAGAATCTAAAGTTTCTATCATTTAATACTTACACAATTTCGCTTATGACAATTTATGCCCAAGGGCTCAAAAATACAAACAGCATTACCATACGATGCTGCAATCTGAAAAAGAATAAACAGAGCATGAACATTCAGGGAAAAGTTCAATAAAGATAACCTCCTTTACATAATTATATATAAATTACATAATCATATATAAACTCATTGCATGTAACACAATCCCAATACTATACTGTAGCTACTTTACTTTCATTTATATATATATTTACTTTCACTTATATATATGTGTACAGACACATACATACATACATACATATACAGATGAGGGAGCTACAAAAAAAATTCATGGAAAAATTCCATTAGCTTTTCATTCCATTTTTCACCAACTTTTTGAAGCCGACTCATCGACACAAAGAAAAGACAACATATTTCTATAGCCTCGCAGAAACCTTAAATAAACAACAATATTGGAATGCAGAGTTACTATTTCTTTGGCATATCCTCCATACACTTCTATCCACTTTGGAAGGTGGTGCTTCCACCCCGCCAACACTTCCCTGACATTTAAATGTGCTGTACATTTACGATGATAGAATTCTTCAGGGTTCAAATCATGTTCCTTTAAAATACTATTTGAAACATTGAGTTTCAGAAACAAAAAAAGACATCTGTAGAGATAAGATACAGGCTGTAGGGTAGAGGGCCGAAATGTTTCCCAGTGAAATTCTCCTAGAACATCCTTGCTACCCTCAGATACGGAGCAAGTACAATGTTGTGATGGGGAAAAAAGCTCGATGCAACTTTGCTGGCCATTTTCCACAAATTTCTTTAAACTTTTTATAATAAGCCCAATGATTATTCTGTGCCCTTCAAGAAAATCTACCAAGATGACCTCTTTGGAATGCCAACAGAGCAGCTGCCATAGCCTTCTGAGCGGACCTCTGCCTTGAACTGAACCGGCCCAGCAGATCCCTTCAGAAGCCACGGTTCTGACTGGCCCTTCTTCGCTGGATGATACTAGTAAATCTAAGACTCACCCCCAGTTACAATTCATTCCATAAAGCTATCTTCATTAGCTTCACTCTTGGTTAAAAGACTAACAGAAAGATCAGTTCCTGGAACTAACTGATCTTTGGCAATACACTTTAAGTATCTTTTTTTTTCTTGAAGGCCCCCTAACAAGACTAAGACAAATGTACTACAGAGAACACACCTGCAGTCAAATACAAACCGTGTGTGTGTGTGTGTGTGTGTGTGTGTGTGTGTGTGTGTGTGTGAAAAGTTCATGAAAAATTAATTAAAAGATAACAGAATTTTTCCACAAATTTTTTGAAGTCCATATATAAATAAATATATATATATCAAAAAGTATCAAACCTAAGAATGTCTTCTCTGTTGGGGAGGTTAATTTTATTTAGCAAATATAAGGTTGATTTATTCAGAGAAAATATATTTTTCTATAATAAATATTTAACTATTTTCCAGTGCAGAAATAAATTTAGAAATATATCTACAAGTTACATGACTTTGTCAAAAGCTTTATAATCCAGTGAAAATAGAAAAACTATTGAAAAGTAGGAAAAGATATCAAAAAGTAATAGGTATTAAAATATATATCACACGAAATGACCTAAATATTACCAGAAAACAGAAAAT